CGATTTTACGATAGGTCGCATTTTTTAAACTTTGTTTTGTCAACATTGAAAGCTAATACGTGGAAATCTCTGCATAAGCGCGTTCCTTAGTGACTAATCCAATCAGAATTTCCCCATCTCCCTAGTAAGATGACTTCAATACTCATATTTTTTAAGATGAGGAAAAATATTACACATTCGAATCGATGAGTGATTTCGCTCATATTATCTGAACTTTTTACTACATGAAAACCCTACTTCCGTTTATTGAAGCAATTCCTCAAGGCGACAGCCTCTCGTTCTCAATGCGACCAGTGGCCTCCTATGGATGTGCATCTTTAAAAACTTTGGAGGAATCCAGGCTCTGAAAAGGATTCGTTCCACAACGGTGCCTATGTCACCAATGCGTTTTCTCATCACTGAACCACTTTGGAATTTTTCTGGATGCTGCATCTTTTTTTGAAATAAGTTCATGAACTAGTTTTACTAGAAATTCTCTAGAAATTTCTAGTAAAATTAGTTCATGAATTTACTTCAAAAAAAGATGCAGTTCATTAGTAAAATTAGAAAGTTCACTCTGGAAATTTTTTATACGACGGAATTGGTGAAGATCGCAGGGCTGATATGGAGGCCATTTGGACACAGTGAGCACACAAACTGAGCGTAAATTACGATGTTCCTGCCGCAGTCACGTACAATGCGCGACGCATTGACGCGCTTTTCGGGTGGCAGTCGTATGGTTATGCGATCAATGAGGCTAGCGCGGCTTTCCCGAGCAGCAATTCAAAAATGGATAAGCGTCGCAGCGTTCGCCTCGCTCGGCTCGGCGAGGCTTAATGGTGCGCGCGCAGGCCCGAGGGAGGTCATTCCCGGGTGCCGCCCCATCCTACGCGAGGCCAATCTGACATGCGTGCCATCCTCCACCTCCTACATGAACGGCGCTCAGTATAGTTGGCGAGTTTGCTCGACGCATTCTCTCCTCGTTGAGAGAGCGCAGAGAAAACGAGAAGAGGGGCGAGCACACGCTTCAGCGCGTCAATGCGTCGCGCATTGTACGTGACTACAGCGGAAACATCATAATGCACTTTCAGTTCGGGTGCTCACCGTGTCCAAACGGCTTGAGTCCATATGGAGGGCGCCTATATTTCACGCCACACGGTATGCACTGCGTGCGTTACGGCTCAAACACTACGAAGGGTAATGAGGAGCAGTAAGCATTACATAACACAAGGATTGCCTTGACGATACAAAATGCTGCTGGGATGATGAACAGGAACTCTTCACATTTTTCTTCTTTTTATCCTATATGTGATGCCAGGGCGGAAGGCGTCTGCTGCCAATTGGCGCTGCTTATCGCGCCCGCGGTCCGGGGATCGAATCCTGGGTCGTGCATCCTCCGATCGAAACAAGTCTTTCATCCCTTCGAAGTCGCTTAAAGCAACAGTTCAGGGAGGGTCCGAAAATTTCAATGCCACTACTACTGAGGGATACACGAGCCCTAGTGAAGAACATATGCAGTGGAAATAATAAACGAACTTACCTCAGAAACTCAAAAACAGGGTGGAAAGTCCCTCAAACATGGGTGTTCTTGGGGATTTCCCCAATCCCGCCCCCTTGCCGGCCGTCATTGGACGCGTCGGCAATCGTGCTCGTTTTGGGACCACAGGGAAAATTGATTGAAAAATGGAGCGCGTTTACAGCGGGCACGTTCAGACAACTCGTCCAACGTGCGTCTTTATCCATTGCTGAGCGGCAGAGGGAGAGTACCTGTCTAAGACCCTCCCCGACGTTTTTTTCCAGTTTTTCATACATTAATCGTCTGGTTTTCATCTACAACTTCATTATTGGTGGTTTTTTCCCGCGAAACCGTTCCTGAACTGTTGCTTTAATTGGTACCAGACTTGTCTGGGTTATAAAAACACTGACTTGACATCGGCTGGCCCCCGCAAGTCATTGTATAGGCCACATCGCATTCAAACGCCACTACGAATGTACAAATGGAAGTAGAATGCGTGCCGCATCCCAAAAGGGATTGATCAACGGCAAATGCTTTATAATTATTCTTATCTTATGATGCCAGCGTAGCCCAATGGGCCACGTACGGCTCGCTTGTTCTTCTATTCCTTGGCGTTGAACTCCTCTGCCTCGGAGTATACTACATAGTTACGAGGAACATGACTATAGTAACTTGGGACCAATTGCTGCCCAACTGATCAACTTGAGCCTGAAGCTGGTACAATTTTTGAGATTTGTGCAAGTCATGTTCTCTACTCGGCATCTGCGGCCAGTCAAGGGTATACGCATGAACCTACACTCATGACCACTCACCATCAGATGTTCCCACCTCTGGTTCCCATTGTTCTACGATCCATGGACGAACTCAACGAGTGATTGATTCAGTTTTAAGTGACGATGCATATTTTCGTGAAATTTGACTTCAACATTATTCCTATGTGTGCCACCTTCGAACTGTTTGTGACCTACTGTCTACACTTTTTAGTAATTTTTATTATCCTGATATCAGTAATGAGTAAACAATCAGCTGTATGTAGTAATAAATATCAACTATATGTACTGATTATTAATGTTCTCCTCCATGAGCACTATATGTGTTTCACTCCGTTCTAAGCACGACAGCAGGTTCCAACACCGCACGAATTGTAACCGGTTGAGCAACCGCAGCCAGAAACAGAACTTGAACATGGCATCTGAAAAAGTAGAATTATTGATTTTGTATATAATTGAGTCATTCAGTTTGTAAAGTCAGGTTTTCAGGAACAGAATACAAGGTGTACGTAATCGATTACTATTGAACTTATGGTAAGCACTTATTCCAGTTTGGTTGTTTAATGTGCTTATGTATTTGCAAAATTTAAAAAAATCACCTCAATGACATACATCAAGATCTAACTTCTATGTGAAAATGAACGTTTGAAATCTGTTATCCGGAGTACCAGGGTCAAGCGAGGCGTCGAGGAAAATTTGGAAATACGACCCCCCCCCCCACCACCCTCCGCCGGAGGCCGAAGTCCATGAAACAACCCTCTTCAAAAGCCGAACTATGAAAAGGTTGAAAAGCTTGTTTAATTCTCCCCAAAACTGCTCATAAAAAAGCCCTGCTACCCCACCGCCCACAAAAAAATTCGTTTAAGAAGTACAAAAGTGAAAAAGTCAAAGAATAATCATTATTGATGAGTCCTACCAAACGAGCAAACGAGAAACAGACCAGAAAACGACAAACTAGCCACTAAAAATGGCATACCATGACAACATCTGTTCTTTATTTATTTCCTCCACAAGACTTACCAAATTCTAGTACTACACAGATTATGGTTCTCAATTTACACGTCCCCCTTTCGCTCAAAGGAAGCCTTGTAAAGCCTTCGCCAGCTGTGTGTTGACTGGACTTTGGCGTTGACCGTGGAGCAGCTTATTTACTATTGAAATTTGAACAAATATTCAAATGATTATAACTTTCTTCAAAGTTAACGAATTTTCAATCTGAAAGCAGATTTTGGAAGTTTTGTGAAGAGCTTTTTCTAATCAGTACTGAAATTACAAAAAGTTATAAGAAATAACAAATTTAGATCAATTAACGAGGAAAATTCGAGATGAGCACGAGTTTTTACACTTTCCGAAGCAATAACTTGCTTCATTTTCGTCAAATTCGAAAAGTTGATATGGCAGACAAAACTAGAAGATTTTCTCTATCAAACGGTTGCTAAAGCAGCTTCATACGTCCAGTATTCAAAAAATGGCCACGTTGAGGATTTTTGCAAAATTAACGAGGAAAATTTGTGATGAGTGCGAGTTTTTTACTTCCTAAAGCCATAACTCCGTTCAAACTCATCCAATCCGAAAAGTAAATACGCCATCATAAACTAGAAGATTTGCTCTATCAAATGCTTACTAGAACTGCTCCAAACGTCCAGTATTAAAAAAACGGCTACGTTGAGGATTTTGCACGAGTACCGCCGAAAGGTACTTTTTCGCTACATTGGCACTATTTCAACGGCTGTATATCCTTTTAAGGGCGTATGTACTAAAGTAAGAGCAGATTTGGAATCACTGCTTTTCTCTTCTCTAAGAAAAGTGATTGATTAGCGTTTCTCAACTTTAAAGGTTACATGTTTATAAATTTAACCCTGAAGAGTCCGTTAACGCAATGTTGAATGGTGTACACCTCCCTGTAAATGCGCACGGACACTTTCAGAATTCTCTCGATTGTTCCTGAATTGAGGTTGTTTGTCCAAGGAGCCGTAGTTGAAGCGCGCGCAACAACTAGACCCTTTCTCGGATGCGCCGTGTACCTCACATCCCTTCAGATTCGGGGTCTTACTTGAAAGATGAAATATCTCTTGGAAAGCGTGCGAAATTCAGATTCTTTAACTTGTGTGGTGATAAAACACTGAAGTAACTAAGAATTACCGGACGCCTCAGAATCACGAAAATTTTGTGTGGGTGAAATATCATTTTCATTGGAAATCCTCTGGCCTGGCATCGACTCATCCTTGATATTTGTCCTTCCGACGGTGATGATCCCACTGCATCAAAATGGCTCGATCTCTTCCACCCAGCGGGCCAATACGACCCCCCCCCTGCGACGTGTCGAGGATTCCTCAACGCACGCTTGACCCTGTCGCGATCCTCCCTGCGGCTTTGCAGTGTTTGGCCGGGGCACTGCCGTTCCTCTTCCTTTCGACTCATACCCCCTACCCCCTCTTCATGCTTCTGTCATGTAATAATGACTGTTCCATTGTTAACTTGCTACTTTTCTATGTCCTCATTGTGATAATTACGGGGGACGGCACAAAAATAAATAAATAAGTAAACAAAATAAAAATAAATGGATCAATTCTAGTGCAGTGAGATGCATTTTGATTTTGGAGCCGATAATGGCGGTTGTGGCGGTTGGACGGAAGCGCGCGCGCTTGCGATGCGGCTCAGAGGGTATTGGGTACAATAGCCACATCTAAAGAACTATGTGCTGTCAGTGACTTACAACAATCGACTGTACTGCGTCACATGCTTGTGCGCAGGCGTCTTGGCATCGCTGCTGGCAAGGCGTTAACCACGGAATTGGTTGACAGTTGTTCATACAGTAATTCTGGCAAGTCTGTTGACAAATTGACAGCGGCATTGCAGAGGCCTAAATATTAATAAACATGAATTACTATTGTAGAACCAAAGATTAGAAGAGTTTACCATGTTTATACAAGGATTGTTGGAGCAGGTATTGCACGAAGAACGGCACTGGGCGTTGCAGGAGTTGAGGCAGGACGGTGTCGTGCAAACACCACCGCATTGATTTTGGCAGGAGCTTTGGCAGGTATTAAATTGCACCTGACTACATTGCGCTCCACATGCGGTTTGGCAGGAGTTCAGGCACATTCTGGATGTTCCACAAAAAGCGCCACATTCCTGCACGCATTGCTTCTGACACGGTGACAGTGCGAACTGAGGCCAAAATGGCGTAGAAAACTGAGGCATAGGTGGCATGGTGAACGACGGTGCAGGTTGCATTGGCATGAATGGTAACGGCTGTGGTGCTACCTGTAAATTGTCAATTTCGTTTGAAGAATTTTCGAGCAAAAAGTTCCATGAAACTCACATTTCCTCCGCAGACATGAGCACACGACTGTTGGCAATTACAGGTGCCATACGTTTTGCACCCCGCCTGACAGGTCTGCAGGCAGGCACTGCATGAGGAAACCTGTATTTGAAAAAAATTAGATACTGGTTGGCAATCATTCCCCGATTAATGTTTAGAGGAGAAGTTTACGATTAAAAGGCAGCCCCTTGGACATCAAGGAAAGGTTTTCAATAAAGCGAGGATGAAGAAAAAAGGCATCAAAAGCGGCCTGGCACCCGGGAAAGAGGACCATTGTTCGCCTATCGATTCCAACGTTGATGCAACTCCCATCGGTACTGCCCTCATCCACTCCAATGCTCTCTCTACTCAACGCCAGAGTCAGATAGGCGCAAGACAGCCATCTATCCGCTGCGTGCAAGCGGCGCGAAACGACGCAGTCACTGGCCCCGCTGAACCCGCTGAGGCATGTCATCGTGCTAGACGCGCATCATTCCTTATGGTCGGCCTCGACTGGCAGGTACATTTCGCCGTTCCTCCGACCCGTGGACCTTGGGGTACCCCCCAGGAGGCCCGTCGCGCGGCAAGAAGGAGAGTCGGCGGACGAGTTGCTGCGCGTGGACGTGCAGTGGGACACTCTATTTAACTTGACGCGAAATCCCCATAGTACGCGCGCGACTCGTCCGCTGACGTTGCCTTCTTGCCGCGCGACGGGCCTCCTTGGGGGGGGGGTACCCCGGACCTTGTTGTGAAATCCTCCTTTAAAAAATACAATCTATTTGTCCAAACAAGTGATTACTGCTGACTTACCGTTTGTACCGATTGTACTTGTTGTACTGCTTGTGTTTGGATTCCGCATGGAATGGCGCAGGCCTGTTGACAGTTGCAGCTCCCAAATTTGCAGTTTGACTGGCACGTTTGTAAGACAGGAGGTGCAACTGTTTACCTTAATAAGATTGTTTGAATAGCTCAAGTAGTAATGGGAGGTTTTTACACTATTTAGGAACTCACGTATGTTCCTCCACAGACGTTAGCGCACGCTTGTTGGCAGTTGCAGCTGTAGGATTTACAGCTAGCCTGGCAGGACTGCATGCAAGAGCTGCACGCAGACTGAGAAACCTAAATGGTATGTTCAAGTGTGAGCAACCTACGCGTCCACAATTTTAGCTTGAAGTTTAAAATTATGTTACTTTTCATCACTGTATCGCCCAAAGCCCGCACTCACATAGGTGGCTGCACATGCATTAGCACACGCTTGTTGGCAGTTGCAGTTGAAGGACTTGCAGCTTGCTTGGCAAGATTGTATGCATGAGTTGCATGTAGTCTGAACAGCTTCGTTATGATTCGTGCTTGCAAGAGCACTTTTTGGGCTGCTTGTTACTTTACTTGTGGTGTATAGTGGACGAGTTGGGGCTCGGCAATGGGGCGTTTGGACGAGTTGGGTACTGAGTGGCTACTTAAACGTGACAAATTTGCTTCTTCTTACGATGCTCCAAGTGAAAGAGGCGAAATGTATTCGTTTCGCCTAATTCTCCTAATTCGCACGCACCACGTTACGTTAGGGAGCATATCATCAGCTAGCTCAGCTAGTTACATTCACTTCTAGTCTGCGCGCTATGTATAGACACGAGATACTTCAGAACCTACTTTGATGCTTTATACTATGCTAATACCAAGAATGCTAATACTATACTAGTACAACTATTATTATACCTCATCACACTCGACACTAGCAGTTCATGTCAGTTGCTCGATTCTCGAATTGACGGTGCACCTGGCGGATGCGCGGTAACTGCGAATCTGTATTGAGAGCCGGGTGGCATGAGCAGATCGGTCGCTACTTAGGAACCTAGTCCCAGAAACTCAATGCACAAAGTTGTCAAAGCAGTTTCGGTCGGTCTCCATGCGCTCGTTGGCCATCGAGGATGACCTCATGTTTTGAACGCCGTGGGGTCAATGGACAATTGCTCGCTTCTGATTATCAAGGAGCCAGAAATATTTTGCCCCAAGGTTCCATTTTACCTCACCCTGTGAGGAACGAAGAACTTCGACGAATTTCCTGCATGGAAGCTTCCCTTAGCACGAGGACTGCCACCGTTGAGAGCTCCACAGTAGAGTATAAAAAATATAGTTGCATCAAAGGCACTGGCCACAATGGCTGCAGGGCGGTGCGATTTGGTGACGTCATTGAAGGTCATCGGTGGATTCGGCCACTCAGCACGCTGAGGATGGGGGTGGGGCCACATATGACGCTCAATGATTTCCTCAGATCTGCTCCGCCCTCCAGCCACCGTGAAAACTGCCTTTAAGCATCATCACACTTATGTTTATAAATCCCGAACTTACATAAGTCCCTCCACACACGTTAGCACAAGCATGCTGGCAGTTGCAGTTGTAGGATTTGCAGTTTGCTTGACAAGACTGCATACACGAGCTGCACGAGGTCTGAACATCCCAAGTGAGATATAATCAGATGATCAGATGATTATTATGAAGCTTCACATCAAATTGTGAGGGTGTGCACAACGCCACTCTAGGTTGGAGGCCCTTGTACGAATTGAACTTACATATCCAGTTACTCCAGTTACTGGCTGAACTTGAGTCCCACATGGTATAGCACAGGCTTGTTGACAATTACAGCTCCCTATTTTGCAGCCAGCATAACACGTTTGAAGGCAGTTGTTGCACGAAGAAAACTGCAAAATTCGATCCATTTTGGGTAAGCTATAGTGAACTACCGACCTTAATATCCAATCATAATAAATTGAACATCCATCTAGGAGTCATCTCTTAACACATTGATGTTTTATCCGAGTTTTTTTTTTGCATTTTTATATAGGCAGTGCAATACAAGTAGCATGGCTATAGTCCACATGGCCCCTAGAATGGTTAATTGGTTCATTAATTTGGCGAAAGTTTTTTATGCCTTTCAAAAATTTTGGTTTAGTTCTTATACTTCGTTTTCCTTCCATTCTCACAAAAACTCACATAAAAATTACAGCGGAAGTAAATGCAGAACTCTACGGTGGTAGGATTCATGCCTCTGTTTAAAGCATTGAAATCTTATTCAGAATGAGAATTTGAGATTCAGGTTATGATTGGATTTAGATAGGAGACCTCTGGCTGCAAGTAAACCAGAAAAAGCTGGCAGTAGTACTGATTCCATCCGGAATTCTGATAGTACGAATGGTGCGGAAATGCAAGCGGAAATTTTTGTCAACGGTACAGGATTTGCATCAGAAGTAACCTATGACGACGCAATAGAAACTTGTTGGTTCCAAACAGGGCCAACTTACCGCTGAGCCAATTTTCAAATTTCTACAGCCCCTCCGCGACTTAAAGGGGTCTACCCCTTTTATACCCACTGCCCTCCCTCCATTCATTCACTTGCAGCCTTGGTGGATTTCCCTATATGAGCCCCTTCACTACTCGCATCACCATCCTCACCGCAAGAGCTGCTTCTCGATTCTAAGATTAGGTGTCACACTGCAATTCCGTCCAAAATTTCATACAATGCGGGACTGCTTCTGAGCGGAGATTGAACGGATGGGAGGTGGGGGGGGGAGGAGATAGTGTGACTGGCAGAACGACAAATACCATACGAGATCGCTTTGGTGTAGCTCCTATTGCTGATAAGATGCGCGAAGCTCGTCTTCGATGGTATGGTCATGTGCTTCGCGGAAACGATGACAGTGTGCGTAAGATCGGCCTCAACATAGACGTGCCCGGAAAGCGGCCTAAGGGACGCCCAAAGCAGCGCTGGCTTGATACGTTGCATATGGACTTAAAGTTAGCTGGTATCCATCCCGATCAAGCATTCAATCGGGAAAAGTGGCGTCAACATACCAGAAAAGCGGACCCTGCCACCAAGCGGGACAAACGCTAAGAAGAAGGTGAAGGAGATAGAACGACAAATGTTACCACCTCAACTTCCTCTACAATGATTTCCTCTGGGAACCATAAATGCGAGCCCCCTTGAACTTCGCCGTTACCGCGCACATGATCTGAGAACTGAACTTCGCACGAGATCCTTCCTGGACAGATTGAATTTTTGCAAGTAATGATCATCTGCGAGATCTCGCAGGAACCTCCAGGGCGGAAGTGGTGTAGTGGCAAGTGGCACGCTTACCACGCGAGCGGTCCGGGATCAAATCCTGGGTCGTGAGTCGCCCGGGCCAACCAAGCCTTCCATCCCTCCGGGGTCGGTTAATTGGTACCAGACTTGTCTGGGAGGATAAAAACACTGACTTGTACATCGGCTGGCCCCGCAAGTCATTGTATAGGCCACATCGCATTCAAACGCCACTACGAATGTACAAATGGAAGTAGAATGCGTGCCGCATCCCAAAAAGGGATTGATCAACGGCAAATGCTTTATCCTTCATCATTTTATTGCATAAACCATC